TCGAAATTGTAAATCTCAGATTTAGGGTAATAAAAGTATATAGAAATAAGAAAAAGGAAATAAATATGATATTTAGGATATAAATATAAGATTTAGTGTAATAATAAAAGTGAGATAATTATACGATTGAATAAAAATAATGATAATCAGGTGATAAATGATAAAAATTAAGAAAAAGAAAATTTCGCATAATCAAAGAAAGATTATCGAATTAGAGAAATTTATGTTACTACGGTAACACTACTTTATTAATCCAGTTATTATTAATTATTCTGGAGTATATAGTACTAGCATTTTGTATTTGATCCTTCCCAGTTAAAAGATCATTGAATAATTCATTTATATTCTTGTTAGAATTTTTCATCAAGTTGTTGGATATTATCCTAGATGAACTTTCTTTATTGAACTTTAATTTTTTCTTTGTATACTTATATGTTATTAATTATTTTTGCACTTCTAATAATTCTTGTTGGCATGTCTTCACTATTAATATAACTAATTTCTCATTTGTAAGTGTTAACTAATGTTTATGTTTCTTCAGATTTTGGTTCTATACTTTTAAATTAACCTCATTATTAATGTAGTTATACTATTGTTCAATCATTTTTATAGTTAAATATTAGAAAGTTATAACTCTTTAAGTTTTGTTCTTTGAATTCATCTTTATCAGAACTTGATTCATTATAAAAGTCTTCAAAAAATTCATCTGGATTATCATTATCTTGTTCATAGATAAATTTAATTTTTGATAGTTTTTTTTGGTTATTTCAATCGAATATTATAGTTTTATTGTGTATATCAAGTTTGACTTTGATCTTGTTTAATCAGTTCATTCAACTATTATACTATAAATACAAGTTTCAGTAACATTAACATTAGCAAGAATTATAATTAGCAATTATGATTGGAAAATTGTTAATTACTCCAAGAGATTGCTTAAATTCATCATTAATATCAGACATTATGATATTGAACTTGCGTTGAATTTTGATTTCATGTTGCTTGATAAAGTTATAATTAGTAACACAGTCAGATGCTCCAATATTAATAATAAGATCAATGAGAACAATTCTAACTTTGGCTTCATACCAGACTGAAGTGGTTCTGACTTTTTATCCAATCATTACAGTGACTTTTCTGGTAGTTTTTCTTATGGATTGGGTAGGTCTTCTCATAGCCTTTAACATTTTGAATCATTTTTCTGGTGAAGTTTGAATTAATTGTCCAAAAGTTATGTTGGCTTTACTGGTTGTAAGTCATCCAATATATCATATGGGATAGATCAGGCAGCTAGGACAGGTTGGGTGGCTTTATCTTTCTTCTTTTTTGTATCTTTCTTGGATGTAATTATTCTAGCAGTTGGAATTGGTGGCTGTTCAACTTGGATCTCTGGAGACAACACATTTGAAATAGTTGAATTACTTGATCACCTAACCATGTCTCATGGCTCAAAGTCCGAGTAATAGAGGAGCTTGTTCAACAAATCTAACAATTTTGATGGTGCTCAATTTCAAAAAGGAACGAATGTTATCACCGGTGAACAAACTTCCTCGATTACAGCTTTTCAGGAACAAATAACGAAAACGAGCCGTGGATATCACTGACGCGGGATCAATCTATGTGTAGCATTGCTGATTTTAAAATCAGTAGTTTACAGCAATGATTGCAGCAATTTCTATCACAATTGTCAACAATGCCGCAGGTTTCCCAATCATCAGCAGCTAATTTTCACCACAATTGTCAACAATGCTGCTGCTGTAAATTATTCATCAAAACAGCAGCAAATTTTGTCACGAATGTCAACAAATGCGGTTTGTGGACTTTTCAGCATGACAACATGCTAATAAAAAAAACAACAAGCTCCCTTTTTAGTATTACTCCATTCCCTGCATCAGTTTTCAGCATCTCCTCATCGTTTTCAGCATCTCCTCATCATTTTTCAACGTTTCCCTGTCATTCTTCAACACGGTTCAGTTAGTTTTCGATTTATTTTGTAACAGTTACTTCTATAGATGACAGAGCGTCCGTTGTGAACCCCCCTTTTTTTACTAATAGTAAAATGTAATGCTTTCTTTTTCTTTGATAGTACAAAAAAATAATAATACGCCGAAAATGTATAAAAGAATGGCCACGGGCTACTAATAAAGAACAGAATAAAATTGTGTATAATTCTTCTCTAAGCAAGATACAGCTTGAATCTTTGCGTACAACTATTCAAAGCGAATTATTGCTTGTAAAACTCTTCCCTTTTTCCCCACGTTAATCGCGATATCGTATTACTCGTTGATTAGGTCCTTTACACCAGAAAAGGCGTAATTTTGTGTAGATTCGCATTGTTATCGAAAAACCGTTTTTTGTGTAATCACCGTTGTCGTTATTATTTGAGTTTAAGGCGTTTGCCTAGAAAAAGCAACGATTGTTAACGTTAATAATATTTTTAAGAGTTTAAGGCTTTTATCTATAAAAATCAACAATAAAGGAAATCTCCTTAACACTCACCCGAAACACATAATCTTTCTTCCCCCCCCCAAATCAACATAAAAGACGATATCCGTAGATATCGGCAGACTTTAGATACCGAAAGAATCTACTGTTCATTCTACCAATCTCTCCCAAAGTCTTGTTGCGGCATAAATCCTTTAATTCGCTAAAACAAACATAACGATAAGCGCAACAATGTATTTACACATCACTAACTAAATACGTAAGTAGCTTGTCCATCACTGTACATGTATTCTCTTAGGAAGTGTATGTATTAAAAATTCCCTTTTAAAGAGCAATTTTAGTTAAGACATACATCAAAGTAAATACGTATCGATATCATTACGTACGTGTATGAAACTGTAACTGCATTGAATACTAAAATTGGAAGTACTAAAGCGATTAAAATTGATTTTTTTTGTAATACATGTGATCATATCTGTCGATCAATTTTGTTCTTGTATATTTGATATACGTACGCCTTTTTCAATTACTCATTCATTCCAAAAATGCGGCTTTTGTTTTTCCTCTTAGGTTAAAGGGATCAAACGCTGCAGCACCTATCGTTATTGAAATACATAACGATAGCGATAGTGATAATTGCAATAATCTCGGCGTTTCTTTTTTAAGGCTACACGTACATACGTAGTATGTTTGGGTGACCTTAACTATTTTAGTACATGTACATGTAATCATATGTGGATGCATTCATATGATAGCAATAGAAAATTATAGCGATCTCCTCGTAAATTAAAATTTTGTTATACCCCCGTGTTGATATAAAAAAGGTTCGTTATATCCAGAGTTGACTGTGTATGCTTTTAGTTTTTTAAAAAGATGCTTTATTCGAGTTTTTCCTTGTTTGACGCAATGTCATCAAATCGTTCAATTCCATTTCTCAAGAATGTAGGGAGAATTGATTCTTTTACAGTGTCGAAAGCTCGTGTCTCATCAAAGATCACTGGTGATAATTTGTCTGGAGTTCAAAAACTCGCCGCAAATTTCGCTGAATTAAGACAGCAGCCTTTGAAAGATGATAAATTGCGACAAACCAACGACAATCTCAAAGATGATGAATGTAATGCCATCCCGCTAGTTTTAGTCGAAGGATTTATGGGACCAGCTCGTCCAAAGTTATATTGGGGACCATTGGAAGATATTTTGTATGAAAATCAAATAAATTCAAATAATAATGATCGTGTTCGTCGTCGACGTAAATGCATATTTGTGTCCCCTGGACCTGGAAATTCTTTGCACGATCGAGCAGTCGAAGTATTTTATCAATTGAAAGGAGGAAAAGGTGAATTAACATCATTCAATAAATATCTCCCCGAAAATATCAATCTCAAATGCAACGCTAATTATAAATATCAATAGTTGATTATGGAGAAGAACATTCTAAAAAATTCGGTCATGCTCGCTATGGGCGAGAATTTAAAGGTAAATGAATGAATTATTTCGATATTTGAACTTTCTATAATAAAAACTAAAACTATTAATTAAATTTTAGGTTTATATCCCGAATGGAGTGTAAACAAACCATTACATTTCTTGGGTCATTCTATGGTATGCTATTTCACAATCATGGTTAGAAATCCAAGTTTCGCTTTACAATTTACACATTCATTCCCGTTACGGATATAGGGTGGTTTGACTATATGGAAAATACAACAATTGCTAAATAGTAACTTTTTCCCAGCTCAACATAATCCACACCCAGACATGATACTTTCTCTAACTACCCTCTCGACTCCATTCAAAGGATCACCAGCACTGTACAATCTCGGACAGCAACCAGACACAACCGGTCTAGTTGTACCTTATTCGTTCGGCTATTGGCTTGCTATGTTTGTACAGGCGTACGATTATGTGGATATCAAATGGTTAAAGAAAAACGTATTTGATTTCCAACTTGACCATTGGAAATATTTATCCACAACCAACAGTAGCAATGAAAAAGGATTTAGTCTTTTAAAAGGCTCTTCTATGTTCAAGGGTAGAGATCATGGTCCGTATGATTTATCAGTGCATGGAATGAAGGAGTTGAATGCGAAAAGTCGTACTTTTCCAAATACTTTTTATCGAACGTATGTTGCCTCGATGGTAAGTTATTATTATTATTATCGACCGTTATTACTATCAATCTATTTATTCATTGATATATATTTAGACTTCTCTAGATGAAAAAACAGGATTCCATAAACCGAAATTTACCATGATACTACCATTATATTATCTATCAAAATTAATTGGATCCTTCAGATTTCCCGAAGATGCAATCGATATACCCATAAAAAACGATGAACTTTCACAATGGTTTGAGAATGACGGATTGTGTCCTGTTATTTCACAATACCACCCGGAGCGATGCTCACCAACATATTGTACACATCATCAAGGATTGCCCGAAGTCAATAACAACGCCAACATAAGTCAGTTTTGTCGCCCAGGGGTTTGGGATGTTTGGATGATACCGGGTACAACAACACATCTCGGTGTAGTTCCAGTCTTGAAACTGACGAAGAAACAAGAACAATTTTTTATGGGTGTGAAAGAATATTTAAATGTGTTGGATGAAATGTATTTGAAGTCTTTGGAATTCGACATATAATATAATTAGGGAAATGTCTGATTTTTTGGTGGACAGGTTTTGAGAGTTGATATCAACTGAAAATTAGGTGATAAGACATAACGATCAATGCTCAAATCCTAAAATTGAATTTGTCCGTCCCAAATCCCAAAATAATTTTTACAATAGATTTTAAAAGTGCCGTATACATATTAATATAAAATACTTGGATAGAATTGTTAAATTAATCAAATCTTTGGTTGAACACCATCCTCAAAATCTTTCCTCACTTCTCTAAACAGTTGATCATCCGTCAGCACATCCAATGCAGTCAACGCCAAACATTTCGCCGCTCGTATAGTTTTTACGTGAGCCGTGGATGTTTTGGCAAGTTTTTCGAACTCGATAGTGTGAAACTTGGGCGTGCGAGTATTCTCTTCTCCGATGTTAAACCTTTATGGTACATTTTTTCAGTAAATTCTAGCGCTAGTACGTATAAAGATCGAGTAGAAGGAAATCTCTATTCATACTTACAACACGTGAATGCCTGGTATATTGTAACTAACGTTTCCCTGCATAAAACAGAAATGAATTAAAAAAGAATTAACGAAAGAAAGAATAAAAAGACTCACCATATCCGTAGACCCAGTCAAATCAACGACATTGGGCAGGTACTTTACTCCACGTTCCGTCATATATTTCTCAAATCTATCTCTAAGATGTTGATTTTGTAACACATCTAATCATCGAAAAAAAATTTAATTCTGTTCTGAATTCAAACAATTGACTTCTTCCTCAAAAATAAAAAAAAAAACCTGCCAAATAACCCATCTGTCCAATCGATCTTGTATTTACACCCAGCAGCTTCAGCCGCTGCCGTGAAACAAGCACTAGTTTTTTCTTGCAGTGGCGCCAAATTTGCGTACCTTCTTGAACGAATATAAAAACTCAAGCTTGCGTAATCGGGAATAACTTTATTTTCATAATCAAGAATAAAGAAAAACGTTAATGATTTTTTCGATCGTATCGCGTAAAATGGTTTATTAGCTTACTATTTGCTGCCTTTCCTCCGTTTGTGATTATTCCGTGAATTCTAAGTAAAAAATCAATAATTATATAATACAGTAACATGATGCTTGATTTTTAACCTAACCTGTCGGATGGGAATACTTGTTGTCTGAGCATTGAAAGAGCATTATACGCTTGCACAGCTGCATCAAGGGCGTTTTTACCTAATTCAATTGAAAATAAATTTTTAACCCATAAAATTTTTCTACAAATCTTCATAGAGAACTTTATACCTTCCCAAGGCGATGCTATTAGAGAAAAAAGATTAAAAATCACGTGTATGATGTTCGCTTCAATAAAACAAGACACTTCGGTACCTGCAGCATGGGCAGCCACTCCAAAATATTCTACTTCAGCTCTACGAATTGCTAAATAAACCGGCTCAACTGTATCAACCCATCTTCATCAAAAAAAAGAGAATTATGTCAAAAAGTTGGAATTGCTGTATAATGATACAATATGTTTTTACTAATTACGCGGGATGAACCATCATGCAAATATCGACATCTTTATACGCGCCAGCTGAAATGATTTTAACTTTTCCACTGTATTTTTCTACGCAAAAATTTTTTTAAAAAAAAGAATAAAATAAATACGTAATCGTTATCTTTTAATGATTATTGTACCTTCAGCTGGAGTACCAAACAAAACAACTTTTCCAGGAAGATTTAAAGCTTCAATCGAGCACTTTACACCTAAATGTTGTACGTTCAATTAAAAAGGATTTAGCTGAATGAATTTAATTTCGTAATTCTGATACCATAAGCAGCAGCAACGCCAGAAATCGCAATCAAATTATGTCCGCATGCATGTCCGATTCCGGGTAATGCATCATATCTTTAAAAATAGATTAGATTGCAACGTTGTTCGTTCTCCTTAAATAAAGTAAAGAATGGTAAAGTAAAAAATTACTCGGAGTTGAATGAAACGGTCCTTTTCTTTTCTTCATGATTCGTTTTATTTTCAAATTCAGCACGAAACGCAGTTTTCAACCCATAAGCATGTCGTTTCACTGTAAATCCTTTTGATTCAAGATAATCCGAAAGAATTTTGTGTGCGAAATTTTCTTCGAGAGCGAGTTCTGGATTATCATGTATCTAGCAATGTGGAATAATTAATTAGATATAATATTTAATTCCTTTTATTATCATGCATTTGCTACCTTTAGGCTTATTTCACGCAATTCCTCAGAAATTGCATCGATGGCTTTTTCGACAATATCTTCGAACTTTGAAGACATAACTTGCGCCACAACAGACAGTCAAGATGAGCAAATTGCAAATTGCAAAAAACGAAAACCTCTAACACTAATGTTTATCACACAAAGGTTGCAGATTACCGTTACTTTTTTCGATGACTGATAACGATAAATGCTAGATTGGACTTTAAACAAAAAATTAAAAGTGCAATCTTTTTACGGGCACCTTTCACTCGATTACGAGTTTTTCTCGCCATAAATCTCACCCAATTACAAGAACACGACTGTTCCCACAATCAAATTACCAAGACAAGCAAAAAAACGCACCGAGAACAAAAGCAGATCTTTTAACGAGTAAACAACAGTTAACGTTAACATAACGATAGACTTCACATGGGTAAGGAATTTGGCGGCTAACAATGCAGCCACATGCAAGCAGCATGCAATAATTCTCCGAGAAATTTTCCGATGATAACATCGCATCTTTAATATTTTGAAAATTTTTTGCGTTGGTTTTTAAATATTTTATTAAGAAAGGTAGAAATAACATGACTATCACTAATAGCCACGTTCTTTTAAAATGACTCAAATAGACAAGTTTGCAGGCAAGCCCACAAAATACAAGACTATACTATTAAAGAAAGATGTGTTGTCTTTTTCTATGATGCATATATAAATATTCGATTTTTTGCGTGCACGCGTTTTCTTCAAGAATTGTGTATATGTGTGAGATTAAAATAAAAAAATGCCAATTAATGCAAGAAAATCAAAAACGTGAAGACAACATTCTATAAAATGTGTAGAAGAATGTACAAAATGTAGTAATATGCGTGTATATGTGTTGAAAATGAATATTGTGTGAAGATGAGTTATGCTGCATTAAAATAAGTAAATAATCTAGTGATGAAACAAAAGACGACGTTGTGAAAAAAAAAAAAACTAGAATAAGACCGAATCGAACAGCGAACAGAGTAAAAACCCAACGAGAAAATAAAACGAACGAATAAATTCCATACGAAGAACAATTAAACAGAACAGATTTCTGAACAGAAAAAATATAAATAAAATTGCAAGTGTGTGTGTATATATGTATATATATTAAATAAACGTTTTTTTTTTTTTTGCTTCGAAAAATTATTTTTTTATACTTACAAGGTTTAAAAGAAGGGGATAAATTAAGCGAAAAGGCATATAACATAATCTATGATTGCGCGCAGTCAAACCATAATTGCGCATAACAAAAAAAAAATACAATATTAACAAGAATTTTGAATAAAAAGACAACCGAGGTAAAAGCACAGAAATTGTCCATGAATTTTAAAAAACAAAAATTGCCCATGAATTTTAAAAACTAAAGTTTACAAAGAAGCCAAGAGAAAACTTTAACGTCATTAAATCTACTATCTAAAAATAATATCCCACCCATGAACAGAAAAAATGTTTATTATCTTCCCGATTGTTCTTTTTGGAAGACTATTGAGTCAAAGCAAATAAATCAACATGTCCGTGATACTGCAGCCGGATTCAGATGCACTTTGACACCTTCGACCTCACCGTCATATCTTACTTTTTTTACTGGACGACCCAATCGATGGACTCTCAAATGTCTTCTCATATTACTCTGCACTGAGAATTTACGTCCACAGCCAGGTTCTGTGCACATGAATGGTTTCTCACCGGTATGTGAATATGTGTGAATGCGCAATGAACTTGGTCGTGAAAATCGTTTTGAGCAATACGGACACTGATATCTATTTGCATTTGAGGAAGATGATTGGTCATCAATTAATGATTTCGAAGCAGACATACGTTTTACTGCTGATGCATTGCGATGAATCTGATGATCAAAGTGAGCAAGATGAGATTGAAGTGGAAGTTGATAGGAAAGTTGAGGAATTTGTTGATATCGATGATGATAATGTTGCTGTTGTGGTTGATGATAATGACTATGATGGAGAGCTTGCTGTTGATATTGATGGTGATGGTGATAATGATCTTGAATTCTTGTTGACGTTATTATTGGGGAATAAGTTGGGGATGGTTTAATAGCCGTGGTATAAACAGGATAAAGATTGTATTGTAACGGAGGCGTAGCATATCGTTGTTGTTGTTGTTGTTGATCTTGACGTGCAATGTGTGCACCATAGTGATCAAAGTAAGTAGTAGTTGGTGATGTTTCAGGTGATTTAGGAGGTGAAAGGAGTGTACTAATGTTTTGTCCATTTGCAATTTCACTTAAACTCATTGCGGTTGTTGTTGTTGGTTTATTTTGATGACTCATCGAAGGAAGACGGAAAGATGAGGATAAAGGTGTGATTGGGGGTGAAGATGCAGAAGAGAAAGATTGACGATTACTTTGCGGTAAAGCACTCAAATAGTCAACAGCAGCTAAAAAAAAAATAAAATAGATACATATTAGTAAATTTATTGAATTGAAACTCATTGATATGACAACAGATGCTTACCATTATTACTACTCTCGTGATTCGGCGAGTCAAGTAGAAATTTGATTGGAGGAAGGATAGTATGAGATTGCATTTTTTATATTTTAAAATGTAGTATTGGTATTGTTGTTGGTTTGGAAGAGAGTGGCGAGTGAATAATTATCTACTTTATTCTGACAGTGCAAGTAGACTTTATTAATCTTTTCGTTTCTTATAAAAATAATAAAAATAAAAATAAACGTAAGTCAATTCGAAATCGTATATGTGGTTAAATAATTATAACGATAAATCTTAATTTACAGTATTAAACGATGAAGTTAAACTTTAATATCTAATATATTTTATATGTATATAATAAAAAATATATAATACACAAAAAGGTCAGATCTAGAAGTATTTGAGTATTTTTTTTTTAAACAAGATTTTTATGAACACACATTGAGGTGTTTAAAGCAAGAGAAGAATGAACAGCGAGAGTCTCTATTTATATGAATTTTAACTTTATCTCTGATTGACGTTTTGTTGGATTTTCTGTGCAATCAAGATTTTACATACGTAGTATATGCATTATCAATATATCGATATATTATACATTAAACTTATTAGAAAATCTTTATATTATTAAATTAACGTTTATTTGTTTAATTCGATGAGTTAAAAAGAATCAAATTTGATTTAAATCTGCATGCTATCATATGAATAAGTAAATCAATATTTTTTATTACATTTTATAATGAGGATACATTGAAACAGTATTCGTGTGTCTGAATGTTTATATGTGGATCACAATTTTAAGTTATCATGTGTATATCAATGTGTACATTTTGTATCGGTTATCTAATACTTATATAATCAAAAAAAAGATTATTATCTTCTCTTTCTATTGATTTAGCATTTATTATGGCAAACCAAAAATATAGAATGGAAATAGAAACACCCAATCGGCAGGTCGTTGATGATTAGCAATGAAACGACGAACCGCACGGGGACGGGGATAAAATGCGCCGGAGCTACACAGACAAGATTGAACAAATTGGAAGAGTTCGAAATCCATAATTGGCAGTGCCGACTTCGGAGGAGCGAATAAAGATTTTCCGAATGTGCCGTTATTATAACGGCCCGAACATGTTTGAAAAAAAACAACACCAGGTTGTAGAGCAAAATTAATTCCCCGATCATGCAATCTTTGTACATGCATGTACTGTATCACAGCATTTAATAATTTACGAACTGCAACAGTATACCTTAAATACATATCTTTCCGAAATTGCTATCAATATTTAGTATATCAAATGGACGAGTGGGGGGAGATTCCTTATCTAAAAATACATGTATATATTTATTATATTTATGCAGTGAGCCAATATATGTAACTCGGATGTTACATGGAATAGACTACATAAATATGTATAATTGCATGCTTCTTTCTAAATTAGGTCTTGATTTCATGCGAACGCAATTATTTGTGGGATCTTCCAGTTTTCGCACTGACTTTTGTTTGTAATTACTTGAATTTCTTGTTTGTAATCACTTGAATTTCTCCTCACGAAAATCGTGGAAGATCCGTCATACAACTTCTTTGTTTAACAGGGCGTTTGCATCCCATTTAATGTATGAATGAATACTCATATAACATACACTCATGTATGATTGCGTAATCTGCAAGAAGAAGAAAAGTTTTTTCATGCGCATATATAACATAAGGGGCCAAAGATGTCTTGGAAGAAAAAAACGTGACTCGACGTGAACTTGATGCTTGTCATGAGGCAGTTCTTGGGGACATGACGAGTTAGCTAAACTGAATTCTGGGTTGTTTAACAGCATTCGAAAAATCCTGCATGATATTTTGCTTGAACATTATACCAACGATCTTATTAAAGTTAATTTCTGCGCGATTGCGCAAATCCGGTCTGTTTTCGTAATTATCGGATCCGATCGCTCATGCTGTTTTTATCTCTTTGAAGAAAATGAACTATTATGAATAAGCTAAGGCTCAAAACCAATTACTATGGTTTTAGTAAAGCGCTGCATTTGGAAAAAGTAATATCAAAATTTACAAGGTGTGTGGAACAACGGAGAAAGTAAGAAAATCCAATGGCAACAGGCGCTGAAACATGAACCTGTGCATCCGATTTTCCAATAAATGTAATTTTCATTGGGGATTTCAATGAAACATTGTGAAAATCAATTAGCGACTTCTTGTCTGAGAATCTTTTTTTTTAATGGATTATCATGCGGAAAAACAATTGCTTAGCTCATCATTTGTTATCGTTGAATTTCAAACTCACGCTTACGTTGAATAAAGGAAGATACGTTGATAATGAAGTCCATAGACAGAGATTCTTTTTTCTTGAAATTTTCGGTCCAGAAAAGCCAAGAACCTTCTTTCTGTGTTCTCCATACATGAATACACGATGTCTGTATACATGATTAATCTCGTGTTATTTCTTGGTAATCGAGAAACTCTTGTTGTGTATAAATATTATTGTTTAGAGAAATGAATCATCCTTCTTGTCCATTTTAATTATTCTAAATTTTTAATTTATTAATTATTTTCATGAAGCCACGATCTTTTGTACAATCAGGAAAAATTTACAGAAAAATTGCGCACGATACGTTGTTGTAAACCCACGTTCACTTTTTTTTCCTAACTAAAAACACGCAAACTTTCATCGTTATTGACTGGCAATTTGGACGATGAAGGAACCGTTATCGTAGAGAACTTTTACAAAAGTTTCTAATAATTCAATTTTTCAATTATTTTAATACTAATAATATTCATCATACTAGAAAAAAAATAGCTTTATACATTAATCCGCATACATAATCAATCTTTTTCACGTCTTAATTTATTCAGTTCAAGAATCAATTGTTTCTGTTATCATCCGATGTTTCTTTGTTTCGGCACTTGATATTAAATAAAGATTTTTTCGTTATGGCAAAAAACCGTAGAATATTATGAGATTTTCTATAAGCCAATAAAAAGTATTCCGACACCAAACTTTGCTACGAGTTTATGAAAGACTGTCATATTTGTGAGATAAAGAGAGTAAGCTTTTAGTCACAAGTTTAACATAAGAGAATAAGATTTCAAGAGAAATATTTTGATTGGATCTTCATAATACACTTATGCAAAGATTAATTTCGGATGTCATTATGCTTATTTGGATTATTCTTTCAACCACATGCATGGGAGACAATTAGAAATCATCTCATCAGCAACTCACGATTATTACAATACAGATATTTATTCCATAACACCAAGATTTGGTGCAATCGATCAGTCATCTCTTCTTTCTTCAAGAAATAAATTCAATAATCAGAGATCTCTTGTGTGTGTCCATCGCAAAAAAATAATACATACTAACGCCAATATCTAACGCTAATATCTAACGCTAATATCTATCGCTATTATTTATTTCATTTGGCTATTTATAAATACGGATGATTTTCCGCGCTTCGGAAAAAAAATAACGTAGGAAATAATGATAGAAATTTATTTGTTTAACAAATAATAAAATCTCAATTTATCGAAACTCTATGAAGAGCAAAAACAATACCATTGACACAGGAACGGTATTCCGTAAAAATGCATTCAATTTTCTATCTGATAAATGTAATTTTAAAGATTTACTAATTGATTACCATTCCTGTTTCATATTGATTTGTTACATCCTGCAGATGATACGTTACTAGTTACTCGAGGTAAATCAATTTTTTTGTTGATTATGCGTACATCCCTGTCGTCAATATTACGGAATATCTTTGGCGCTTTTTTGCAGATGTCGATATGTATATGGAACATAGGGCACAAAGCATGATTTTCGTCATGCAACACAGCGTCATTAAAATCAGGAAGGGGTTTGATAAGCGTCTTGGACAAGATCGACTTTTTTAGACATTGAATGAAGGAAATGCATCTCGATTTTCCCACTCTATTATGGTTTCTCATACACAGAAACGAATATTAGACAGTCGAATTTCTCCGACTGTTTGTATCGAAATACTATTTAATCGAGTTGCATTTTTTCTTTTTATTATGAAAACCATCACCTTACAATGTGCTATAGCCATACAAGTAAATTTTCTTCACCGGTATACGTACTCGATTCAGAGATGACTATTATAATACAGCTAAATATAGTTCTTAGATTCTATTGTTTATCGTTTTTTTTATTATTCATTTATTAATTAATTATTAAATTAATAATTAATACGAAACTTTCTTTTACACAACGAGGAAATGTCAAAAATAAATTCCTTATTTTGCTTCAACTTAATTTTGTGCATTTTGATGTTGTCAAATTCAAGCTCATTCTGTGCTTTGATAAGCAGACTACGGAGTTTAGAGATTGCCTAATTGAGCTGGATTATCGCGTTGGGGGATCGCTTAACGATGACTCGTCGGTGAAGTCATTCGATAATTCATACGATAATTCATACGATAATTCACACAATTTAAAGAGTTTCGTGGAGAATGTTTCATAATGACTTACATAATTTCTGAATAAACTTATATAAACATTATACCGTGCTTTTATGGTGCATGCATGCATTATCATATTAAAACTGAATAGTGAAATGTTTACGTCAGTGCATACCCAAAGAAGTTTGACGACGTATAGATAAGTGAGAAATGCTTGCACAAATTTTATCTATCCAGCAGCTTGATAACTACGGTAGAGCAGGAGAATCTATCTTGGAAAAAACTACAATTTACCCCCTCAATAAGCACACTCAAGAATGATGTCATATATTTAGTGGCCAAGACTATAGAGGGAGTGATCAGACGAGAGTGCTTAATATTTAATTCTCACGTTCAATTGTATTTTCTTTCGATCTTTATGCTTAGAATATTCTAATAGCGACTATTCAGTGCTCATAGTATACATTTATAATCGAGATTCACATTAGAAATTCGATCTAAATTTTAAAAAAGAAACTCTTAGCAATTGCGTAAATATACATTTGTAAGATGAGGAATGCATGATCTGTCAAAAATAGAGTACGTGTATAACTTTTTACAGATCAAGTTGACTGTTAATAATTATAAATCTTTGATTTTGTTAAACCTATCGCAATAGAGTTGTGGTTTAATCCTTGTACTTAGGGTGACCATTTGTAAGTTTATAGAAAGATTTTAAATATAGTGATTTTTAGATTAAAAGAGAAAATTTATTAATAATTTAATTTATTGCAACTTGGAATGAGCATAAAATTTCTTTATTCGGAGTACTATTATAAGGATATATGCAGGAGGTAAGGAGAATATTATACTAGGGGGGGGGGGGACATTATAATTATGACGAATGAATGTGGTAATTAGTGCTCCAACCGGGTCGGGTCCAATTCGTGATACGACCCAGAACGCACATTTCGGGTCGGGTCGGATTGGGGTCAAATCCGAACAACTCTACTTGGACACCAAATACAAGTGTCTTAGTAAAAATAAAAGCTATTAACTAAAAACTATTTTACGATTTTCGGATCAAACCCGATCCGAATCCGACCTGACCCGAAATTATCGGTTCGGGTTGACCTCAAACCCGACCCGAACAGAGCTTTAGTAGTAATTACCTAAAATATGTATCCGTGAGTTTTCCTCTGAAATTAAGATTTACAATTTTTTGGCTATTGAAAATAGTTATTGGAAACCTCCAATGACATATTATATACCCTGTGAAAAACTGGATGTTTTTATCCAGAAACTCACTTTTATATTGCAGAATTCTGGACAAATTCCGGCTCTTTTCCAGGTCTAGTAAAAATTTTCCACTAGTTCCCTAAAAAATTTGGAACATGAATCCTGACTCAATATACTCGAAACATAAATCCGAATTTAACAAAAAGTTTTTATCGAGACCGGCAAATATTTATAATTTTGTCCAGAAAACCTTAGATATTCTGGAATATAAATACCAATGAGTTTTTTCTGGATAAAAGATGACAAGTTTTTTTTTACATGGATTTGTAATATTTATTGGAAGCTTCAAAGACACTACTACTTAGGGAAGTATTTTATTATGCAAAATATGGTAAAAAGATCAAGAGAAAATTCTGTTTTTCTATTCAAGCTTTTCTTATTGAAACTGAATTAATAATAATTAGTTCATATTTGCAAGTAATGGAAAGAAATCGACTATATAAATTTGGTGCACATTTCAATAGTAACCTATAATCTGGTGCTGGAAATTTCTTAACAATTTGACTGTGTATCAATGTTGACAACTTTCTATATCCAATTAAACATGTGGTATAATTTTATATATACAAGTTCAAAAATCAGCTGATATCATTTAATTTAAATATTAATAGTCATTATTCAGAAATTTGTTTTAATTTATAAGATTTGAATATTTATATTTATGTTGAGCTAATATTTATAAAAAACTAAATACGTAGTCCATAGACCATATAATACATTAATTTATTGATTCCAACACTCAATTCACACCAAAATTTATCATTTTATTAGGTGGTGTAATGATGACAATTCTTTACCTGATCCTTATCTTGACGTATTCCGGTCTGTCATAAAAATTGTGATGCAATAATTCTGAATTTCGTCTTTTGTAACCGAAAGCAACCGAAACTAGTGTTTTCCTGTTCATCATTTCATCATTATCTCATATCAATATTCTATTAATAAATTTGATCACAATTGTTGCAAACAAAGTAAATAAATCGCTTGTATTCTATAATGGGACAGCATAAATAAGTCATTCAGGTGGGATTTTGAAAGGGTTGTAACTCGTATTCTATGCGTGAGACAAAAATCCTCTTTAACCAGCTGGGTCAAATGGCTGCAATTTTGTTAAAGATGATTTTTTTGTCTCACGTATAGAATACGAGTTATAACCCCACCTGAGTAGATGATTTAAGTTGTTCCACACTATAGTACTTTGTTTGTTTCATTCAGAGCTTAACGTTAACTATCTTTTAGCCAATGTGGTTTTAATTTCTCGATAAAGGACAAAAAAAGAAAATTATATTAAAAATTGAAGTTTCTGCGCATTATTGAAAGATCAATCTTCTAATTTGATACATTATTCTAGAATGACTACGACACATAGTAATAAATATAAGAATAAATGTATTTGTAACAACCGCATTTTAATTGGCTAATTAGAACCTGAGCTATGGTTAGGGTTAAGATTCTGGATATGTGATTGGTTAATATTGAAGTTGTTACAATTAGATTGATACTAAATATAAAAGTACATTTATCGTCTTCAGCCTATTATCTGAATATTTTATAATTTAACTGAACTCATATAGTCAGTGGAATGAATGAAACTTGAATTAAAACCTCCAAATTGCAAATTTAAAAAGCAACTTGATGTCCAAAAAATACACATGTACATAATAAATTAATTCTTTGATACTAATATTTTGAATGGTATTAAAGAAAAAAATACACATTGAACTAATATAATTCTTTACTAAAATTATGGTCCAGTGCAAAAAGATTGACTCCTCAATTATAATAGGTACCATTTGTTTCGAATATAGGTTGTGTATAACTCAACCATCGATTTTTTCATCCAAATAAAGTAATTCTCGCTTCTATTTTGTGTTATTAAATCGTTTTCATCTAAATAAAGTGACATCCCCTTTAAATATCAACGCATTACTAAATACCCACAGTAACTGCAACCCAACACATGACAATAATTCAAGGTCAATTTTATGGTTAGAATCAAGGGTAGAATTAAAGTGAGCGTTAACATTATATGCGTAAATTCCCTCCCGACGTTTTTAATTGGTCCTCCAAGTTAGATTTAGGCATTTGTTTCCCGTATTTTTCGCATTTTATATTTTCCGATGTCTGATTGTTTTGCCGGGGCTGATCAAACATTTTAAGAGTGTAATATCAATGCTTACTCAATATCAAACGTGCATTCTTTTAGATAATTCTGAGGTTAAATTGTAAATATTTATTTTAGAATTACAGTATCTGAATCTATTTTATATTCAATTTCATTGAATAAGATAATATGTTGATCAGAAAATTGTTCACTGATTCTGCATTCAATAATGTTATTTGCTCCTTGGAAATGTGAATTGGTTTCTATTCTTTAATAATAATAATTAAAAGTTTGTGCAAAATGAAGAAAACGCGCGAAATTATGCCGCAGCTTATTACTGTCGATCAATCGGAGAACAGGCTCAAGGAGTAAATTTTGTGAATCCCGTTAATAAGGGGGGGTCTACGTATTGTGTAGTCTAAATTTAGCAATGATTAATTTAGCGTTATAAATACTACATATACGTATTTGCACGGATATTGTCATTGATATTCCGAATTATTGCCCACTAGAATACGTATAATGAAATAGTGATTGTTGTCAATATCGCAAATAAAACAAGAATATTAGATCCAAGTTTAGAAAGAGTTGGATGAATATTTTCTTTAGAGGAATATTTATAGATAAGGATTAATCGGACGTTTTTATTATTAATTATTTTGTTGCGTGAATAAACCTGAAGAAAATTGCATCACATTTTACATTTAAAGTATTTCCTATACTAATGAGTGATGCGAATTCGTAAATCAGAAATGCATTTTATTATCATTTTTACAAGTTCCTCCTTACTCAGGCTCCCTTCCAATCTCAAAAAGGTAAATGTGCACTTTTTATTGAAAGGCAAATGTACACTTTTGATTGAAATTATTGATTTCTTTTTTCTATAAAATTGAGCAATTCAAACTCTTTTCCAACAGTGAAAATAACAAACTTCGAATTCAAAAAAATCACATAAATCACATATTCTAAAGATCCAATAAAGACCAAATATTTCATTCGACACTAAACAATTTAGTTAAAACGAAATGAACAAACAAACCTCTCCCATGTTTTTTTTGGTTACTCTGATCTTCATCTTTTTATTCTGTTCATCAGCCAATGCCTTGCCAAAGGGGATCGAAAAGAGGTCACCATGCGAACAGATAACCCGTTACTGCACACTTAACCCTCAACAAGGTAATCCAAACCAACAAGTTGAAGGTGAAATTCATTTCCAGCAACAGGTCGATTGCTCTGTGATTGTCCAAGGACAGTTTAATACAGTTCATTACCCCGATGCGACTGGATACGATACTCTTTTTGAAAATTACGATTTCCATATTACCTTAGCTTCTGATGCTGCAGAACCTTCCAAAGTCGATCTGGAAAATTATATCACTACAGCTACTAAACCACCAAAAATTAATGAGCCTTATTTCAACTCATTTCCTAAAGGCCTTTTTCCAGTCGATTTTTTTACGCTCATAAAGTACCATTGTGTAGTGGCGTACGACGATTGTAATAATTTCGGTTCAGGAAGCGAGGATGTGATTCTTGGATCTGCCCCGATCTTAGCGGCCTAGATCTTGTTTCCATACCCTACATTTTGCTTCGTTCATTTATTATTTTAGCAAGCGCCATTTGTTTTTAGTATTTATCAGTTATTTTGTTAATGAACTTTATTCAGCTTTAATTTTGTTTTTGTCCTTTCTCCTTTATGAATATAATTTGTATTTTGTGTGTGTTATTTCATTTCTAAATATATATAATGCATCTTGATTGTTATCAACTAAATAAAGGAAGTTAGCTGTTTCGTAAATCAAAATTCTATGACTGCACATCAATGTTTTTACCGGATTACTTTTTTATGTATGCATTGATTAATTCAGAAACGTTCGCATATACTTTTATATTACAACGCGATAAAATGCCATCTGAGAAAAAATAAAAGTGACATCTCATACATGAATTTACTCTGATGATTCTTATTAAAAACAGCATACAGTCGACCTCCCCTACAGTCACCTCCTATACAGTCACATTGACTTATAGTCACATTTTGGTTCGGTCCCAGTTT